GATGTTGATGATGATGATGATTATGAAGATGTTGATGACGATGATCATCCTCATGATGTTCATGATGATGATGATGATGATTTGAATGATGATAATGTGGGTGATTTTGAGGACGATGCTGATGATGATGATGATGTTGATGATGTTGATGATGATGCCGATTATGAAGACGTTGATGACGATGATGATCCTGATGATGTTCATGATGACGATGATGATTGGGATGATGATGATATGGGTGATGTTGAGGACGATGCTGATGATGATGATGACGATGAAGATGAAGATGACGATGATGATGATTCGGATGATTCGGATGATGGTGATAATGGTGATGATGAAGAACATGATCATGATCATGATGACTCGGATGATGTTTATGAAGATGATGATCATGACGATTATGATGATGACGAGTGGGATGCTGATGATTCAGACGATGATGATGACGATGATGATGATGATGATGATGATGATGATGATGATCATGATGATGACGATGGTGATGATTCGGATGACGATGGTGATGACGATGATGACGATTAGGATGATGGCGATCGTGATGGTTATGTTGGCGATATTGTTGATGATGATATTAATGGTAAAGTTGATGATGATGATGATGATAATGTTGATGATGTTGATGACTGGGATGATGTTGATGATGCTGACGATATTGATCATGAAGACAATGATGATGATTGTGATGATGATGATGACCATTTGGACGATGTTGATGATGGTGATGATTCGCATGATGATGCTGATGACGATGATGATGACGATGATGATGATTTTGATGGTAATGATGATGATCACGATGATGATTCGGATGATGTTCAGGATGATGATGACTCGGATGCTGATGATTAAGGAGATGATGATAATGATGACGATGATGATGATGATCATAATTGTGGTGATGATGATGATGACGATGATGAAGATGATGATGATGATTCGGATGATTATGACGATGATGATGATGTTGAAAATGATGATGTTGACGATGATGAACCGGACTATTATGATCATGACGCTTAGGACGATGTTGATAATGATACTGATGATGATGATGATGATGATTATGATGATGATGATTATGGTGATGATGATGATGATGATGATGATGATGAGGCTGATGATGATGATGATCATAATGATGATGATGATAGCGATGATGATGATGATGCCTCGGATGATGATGATGATGTAGCTAATGAGCATGATGATAATAATGATGATTGTGATGATGATGATGATTCAGATGATGATGATCATGATGATAATGATGATGATGATAATGATGATGATGATAAATATAATGTTGTTGATGATAATGATGTTGATGATGACGATGATGATGATGATGATGATGATAATGATGACGATGATGATGACTCGGATGATGAATGTNTGATTGTGATGATGATGATGTATGGCTGATAATGATGACCATGACGATGATGGTGATGATAATAATGATGATGATGACGATGATGATGATGGTGTTGATGATCATGATGACGATGAAGATGATCATAATAATGGTGATGATGATGATTTTGATGATGATGATGATTCGGATGATTATGACGATGATGCTGATGATGAGGTTGATAATGATGATGTTGCCGAAGATGAACCGGATGATTATGATTCTGACGCTGAGGATGATGTTGATAATGATGATGATGATGACAATGATGATGATCACGTAGATTATTCGGATGATGTTGATGATGATGATGACTCGGATGTTGATGATTAGGACGATGATGTTAATGACGAAGAGGATGATGATGATAACGCTGATTTCGATGATGAATTTGAAGATTCGGTAATGATGATAATGATGATGATGATGATTATGATGATGACGATGTTGATGGGGATTATGGTGATGATGATAATAATGATGATGATGATGAGGATGATAACGATGATGATGATGAAGATGATCATGATGATTGTGATGATGATGATGATTCCGATGATTCGAATGATGATGATCATGATGGTAATGATGATGATGATCATGATGATGATGATAATTATTATGATGTTGATGATATTGATGTTGACGATGACGATGATGATGATGACGATGATAATGATGACGATGATGATGACTCGGATGATGAATGTAATGGTGATGGTGATGATGATGATGTATGGCTGATAACGATGACCATGACGATGATGATGATGATGATAATGATGATGATGACGATGATGATGATGGTGTTGATGATGATGATGACGATGAAGATGATCATAATAGTGGTGATGATGATGATGTTGATGATGGTGATGATTCGGATGATTATGACGATGATGCTGATGATGAGGTTGATAATGATGATGTTGCCGAAGATGAACCGGATGATTATGATTCTGACGCTGAGGATGATGTTGATAATGATGATGATGATGATGATGACAAAGATGATGATCACGTAGATTATTCGGATGATGTTGATGATGATGATGACTCGGATGTTGATGATTAGGACGATGATGTTAATGATGAAGAGGATGATGATGATAACGCTGATTTCGATGATGAATTTGACGATTCGGTAATGATGATAATGATGATGATGATGATTATGATGATCATGATGTTTATGGTGATTATGATGATGATGATGATGATGATGAAGATGATGATGATAACGATGATGATCACGATGGTGATTCGGATGATGTTGATGATGACGATGAATCGGATGCTGATGATTAAGACGATGATTTTGATGATGACGATGATGATGATAAGGCGGATGATGATGATGATTTTGACGATTCGGTGATGAAGAAGATGATGATGATGTTGATGATTATGATGATGATGATGATCATGGTGATTATGATGATGATGATGATGATGATGTTGATGATTCGGATGATTTTGATGATGACGATGACTCGGATTCTGATCATAAGGACGATGATATTGATGATGACGAGAATGACTATGATAATGCTGATGTTGATGATGATTTTGGCGATTCGGTGATGATGATGATGACGATTATGATGATGATGTTGATTATGGTTATTATGATGATGATGATGATGATGATGATGATGATGATTATGGTAATTACGATGATGATGATGATGATGATGTTGTTGATGATGATGATGATGACGATGAAGATGATCATAATTATGGTGATGATGGTGATGTTGATGATGATGAAGATGATGATTCGGATGAATATGATGATGATGACGATGATGATGATGATGATGATGATGTTGCGGATAATGAACCGGATGATTATGATTCTGACGCTTAAGATGATTTTGATAATGATAATGATGTTGATGATAATGGTGATGATGATGATGACAATGATGATGATCACGATGATTATTCGCATGACGTTGATGATGATGATGACTCGGATGCTGATGATTAAGAGGATGATGTTGAGGATGACGATGAAGATTATGATAATGCTGATGGCGATGACGATTTTGACGATTCGGTGATGATGATGATGATGATGATGATGATTATGGCGATTATGGTGATGATGATCATGATGATGATGATGATGACTATGATGACGATGATGATCATGATGATGATGATGATGATGGGGACGATGATGATGATGATGCTGACGACGACGATGACGATGACGGTGATGATAATGACGACGTTGATGATGACCATGATGATAATGATGATGATTATGATGATGATGATGATTATGGCGTTTATGATGATGATGATGATGATACTAATAATTATAAAGATGACGATGATGATGGCTCGGATGATGAATGTGATGAAGATGATGATGATGATGATGTATGGCTGATAATGATGACCATCACGATGATGATGATGATGATAATGATGATGATGACGACTATATTGATGGTGTTGATGATGATGATGACGATGAAGATGATCAAAATAATTGTGATGATGATGATGATGACGTTTATGATGATAATGATGATAATCACGATGATGATTCGGATGCTGACGTTTAAGACGATGATTTTGATGATGATCATGATGATGATGATAATGCTGATGATGATGATGATTTTCACGATTCGGTGATGACGATGATGATGATGATGATGACGATTATGATGATGATTATGATTATG